ATCGATAATGAGGATGTGCTCTTTCACCAAAAGCTTGGGAGCAGCGGTTTGAGCTCAGCAGTGTGGTTAATGCAGTCTGAAATGGATGAAGTGTCTCTTTTTTTGGCTACCCCTCTATATTGAAAGGGAAATATAATAGATAGGGACTGGGTGTCACCAATGATTCCCGTAGGTCTTTTTCTGTGTCTCGTTGCACAGATTCATATTGTTACATAACTAAGTACATAAGTAGGATGGAAACACTGACGACTGAGTGATGATAGATTGAGAAATGACAGTTGTTAGGAAAAAACAGTTTATTCAGTACACCGCTAGGAAAACGACTATGTAAGCCAGTACCCAAAATTCAGCAGAACTATTTACTTCTTATTTTGGTGTCATTAAAACGACAATTATGTTCTTAGATGCTTGTTGTGTGTGCCGTACGAGGTTGATAAGTGGAACGTTTTAGAGCCGCCTTATGTTTTGACAGAATCATAATCTCTGGAGTACTGAATGTTGCTCAAAGCTCAGAGTCTCACTGCGGTACTAACCAGGGAGGTCGTTCACCACGTGAACCCTTTTTCAAAACGGTTTTTTGCATGATATGTGGGCACGTAAATGGAGTACAAAACTATGCTTTATTTTTCCCTTCGACTGTCCATGATGTGTGGTTTTCGTGAGCACGTTTCTCTTTGGGAACTGGATCTTCTTGCGTGGAAAGTTGTGTTGTCTCTATTGATCACAACTGACAAATTCATGTTGAGAAAGAAGCATGATTTTACCGGGAAGGATTCCTCGGAGGGGCATTAGCAAGTGACGACTATGATTCGTTGTCATTGAGTAGGTTAAAAACTTCAAGTTCTTCAGTATATGAAGTATGTTTGATATCCAATCAAGTGGATTAGGAATTAATTGGTAATTATTTTCAAGAGAGAAAGCCTGGTCGTGAAAGCTAAACCACCGAGTTTTTTGGAACGAACCGAACTGACCAACTTCGTGCATCCATTACGATCGTGTCAAGACTACGTTGGGTAGATTGTGTCAGCTTCGAGCGTGACAGTTATTAGCAGTCCATCCTTCCGTGCAGGGCTTTCTCTGAACGGAGTCTGAACATGGTCCAACGGCCATTAGAAAATTGTATGACCACCCTTGATGCTGTTGCATTATCCCACATCATCTATTTTTGTTGTTGGTTCGGCCGCAAAATAAGTTGGACTTGTTTAGTTCCCGAATCTTCACTTTTTTGCGTGCGCATTAAGATGGAACTTTCACCTCATGATCAGGTAAGGGATTGCAGGAGGTCAAAAAATGCTCCATCCTCCAACGGAAATTATTGATACTCCCAGGAGAGAATGGTTTCTTGCAAGCGGATTCATTGACTGCTCCAAAGAAAGCATCAGCAACGTTTTCACGAAAAAGAGTGCAGGACAAGCTGTGATTCTCGTCGTGGGTAGGTGACACTGACTTGCATTAATATTACTGTCATCCATTATTCCAAATCATTCACCGATGCAGAATAATGTAGGTGGAACCGAAGAGGCTCTTTATGCTCGACCTGGAGTGCATAAGCTGAAGCTGCTCACTCGAAAAGGGTTCGTGAAGCTGGCTCTCCGTTGTGGCGCTTCGTTGGTTCCTGTTTACACGTTCGGTGAAAACGATATCTACAAGCAGGTGAGGAATTGTATTATGCTACTCGTTACAGTATTTATTACAATCACTACTGTAGCAAAAGTAGCCGGTAGAGTAGTAAAGCAACCGCCAACTTGTTGCATTTGTCACTGTATGTGTTTCAGTTAGACAACCCTGAGGGCTCGTTAGTGCACAAGTTCCAGGTATTCAGTGAACGTCTACTAGGAAAGCCTGTAGCATTGTTCTACGGTAGAGGATTGTTCCAGGTGAGGCTTAACATTTCTGCAGCTTACTAGACGAGCGAAAGGGTTTGCACTCATTAACATTCATAGACTACAGTTAGCCAGGTCACTATTGGGTTTGAATAAATTAATATAAACTCACTTACATTTCAAGACAACGTCCGCAATGTGTGTAGCCTTCCCTAATTCAAAATCACTACCCAGTAACAATGTAGAGTAGAAAGCCTGCATTGTTTCCAATACCATAAATTCTCCAAAACACACGAAATCGCACATACCTGTGTTGTTTCATAATTGAAATCTGGTCCTGTAAGAAAAATGGTGAAGCTTATGTCGAGTTATGGCTTGGCCAGTAACTTGTGCATCCGTATAAATCTTACACTTTTTTTGGCATTAACGTAATACTCTGGAAGGGTCCGTATCATGGTTAACAGTTTGTTTGTAAACATGTATACGAGGGCCATCTTCGGACCACAAGAGGGTGGGGGATCATGAACGTAATGAGCAGCGGTAGAAATTCTAGCGATATACTTATGGATCCTCTATGGAGTATGAGCCGTAGCGAAAAACGTATACACTTTCCAATCCCTCAGCGAATTCAAAACACGGGTCGGGCGCAGCGCATCTCATGGCAGAAATTGTTGGTGATCAATTTAGATTAATGGGTCTTCATTCGATTGATTGATACGAAAATTCGTTTTAGAAAAGTTTTGGTGCTTATAGATTGAAATTACGTAAAGAAAAGTGTAGTAATATGAATGATCAATATTACAGGAAAGAAAAGGAGTTTTTGCAACGAAACGTTTTTGCAAGAGAGAATTTCTGAGATCGTTCTCAGTGTACAATCAAGTCTCGCTGCTCACTTTTCCACAAAAATTCAGCTCAAAGACAAGAACCACTATGCTGTGTTCAAGAAAAACGGCTTGGAAAGTGCACTGAAGCAAACTGGACTATTATGTGATCAGTGATGTTGATGCATCCAAGAAAGTCCAAACCCAGAAATTGCGCGGTATAATGCTTAAGCCTGGTATGGGTGCTCGACATGGGATCCTATGAGTGGTCGTATGCTCAGTATATATAACAAGAACAGAGGCACCCTACTAATTTAAGTCGAAAACAAACCTTTCCAGCCCATCTCAACTTTGTGTCAAACATCATACTGTAAATAGAAATTCAGAGTTACTTGTAACTACCGTCCCCAAGTTCGGTCAGGCTCTGGATATTCGAAGACCTCACCCTCATCCCGCCATCTTCTTCTTATTCTTTAGCGTTTATCCAACTTGTAGGCCGGGTCCGCTTACCCTCATCCCGCCATCTTTTTACCATATTCAATTCTTATTCAAATTACCAGACAGTGTTTGTGTAACCGACAGTTTCAATACAATTCAACGCTCATTTCAGAATAACTTCGGTTTTCTGCCTTTCCGGACACCGGTGGACACCGTCGTTGGTACACCAATAGACGTTCCAAAGATTCGGGAACCAACAAATGAAGAAGTGGATCGCTTCCATCGTAAATACTGCGAAGCTCTTACAGAGCTCTTCGAACAGCACAAAACTAAGTTCGGAGTTTCCGAAGACACAACACAAACTTTATCCTAGTCTAGTAAAAAAGCCTTCACTTAAGCATTTTCTATCTTACCGTCGTTCATCAGTATCGATGTCATCTAAATAGTTCCAGTCATGTCATCATGTCATGTCATCCTTTACAATTGATATTGTATTATCTCGATATTATCATAGTTCGTCACAGTGATCTCCAACTGTACTCAAAAAATCATGCGTCCATGTTCTGAAACGTGGAAATAGCGTTGGACATAGGCACGAATATGACTTGTGCTGAATTGCTATGTAATATGCTTTCAAATTATTAGTGCGAAATCGACCTGACTTCTCCAATGTACAACCACACAGGTTGGCTAAAACCAGAGAGGCTTTAAAGGCAAAGTTTATGATCAGAGTGATATGTTATTACGCTTATGTGACAGTGGAGATGTGAAGGGTTGGGGTTAATGCTGCATGCTAGGACCTTGGCGCTTCGGTCTGTCAAGTTGTCAAGTTTACATCTGCCCACATTCTCTCCACTTGCGTAGCACTGCAAAGAATAAATGTAAGAACATAGATGTATGAATATGATCCTGGATTAATCAATGCATTTCTGAATGGTGGTAACAAAAATGGAGACCTAGCTTATAGTCGTATTGGTGGCCTGATCAGGAATATAACATTTTTTTCTTCGTAAGGCCATTTAGCAAATTTCGTGGTCCCAGTCTGCTTTTTGCTGCAATACCTGCCAATATTTTTCGCTCACAACCTGCAGAAGGCTACCTAGTATTTTTCGCCATTGAAAAGTATTTTAGGCTCAACGATTTATCTAGATCTCCGGATTTCTGTCAAATGTGAGGCTAGGCAATTCTGCAGTTTGTAGAGATTTCTACATCGTGAAGCTTGATCCTAGAACTATATAACCCTTTTCTTTTCCATATTCTCACCCTTTGGTTGAAGGAAGCTTTGTAATCACTTACCTTGATCTTCATCTAAAGTTCCATAGGATTATGAAAGCCTTCTATGGTTTGAGGCCAAGGTCCAAATCTACTAATAAGTTGTGCCAAATAATAAAGTATACAGCTTTTCATTATTTTTATGATTTTTATGATTTTTACAACACGTTATACGTGTGAGTGCTGACAAGCTATGGTAGTATACCATGAAGAGCTGAGTTGGAATGAAATGGTGCCCCGGTAGCGTAACTGGTAGCGCACTTGCCCGGAAAGCGAGAGGTGCGGGTTCTAGTCCCGCCTGGGGCGAAAGTTTTGTTCACAACCCAGCATTCTTGTGAAACATTCGCAAGGCGAACTGCGGCCAAAAACAGCAGTTAACAAACAAAAATAGTGAAGTTGAATTGCCTGAACCACACACAGGTGGCTAAAAAGTAGAGGACGCCATGTTCTTAAAGGCAAACTCCGGGATTGAACAGGTGCTATCAGCGCTTTGTGGTGATAGCTTAGCTGCGGAACGACCTGAAAGTGGAAAGGAAAGCAAGAGAAATCTTTGGGAACGCTGAAATTAAGGCCTTAACCTTCAATAGGGTCGGATGTGGTACGATGGCGAGAAAGGGCGGTCAAAGAAGACAAAATACGCGAGAGAGCACGTCGTTTGAGAGAGCACGCTGATCTCTACATCAATGCACGCTGATCTCACCACCTCTCGCGGTGGGTGGGAAGCGTTGGAACGGGGTCGATGGTTGCAGGCCCGTAAGGATTAGCGCCCTAACCGCGCAATTTTTGCGACGAAGCTGGAGTGATCCAGTTACGTACGAATTTCCCTCGTGGTATCCCTCCTACTAGTCGGGCTAATCCCGGGGTTTGCCTTTAAGTATAAAATTGAAGAACGGGAACCCTATTAGCA